TATTTATAATGAGATAATAATAATATAATATTCGTTACCTTCGTCACATAATATACCGCCCCATCCAGGCTCACAATTACATTCCCAAGGGCGATGACATGTACCATGAACGCACCCAGGGTAAGGAAAACACTCATCACAGTTCTTGCCGGTCCAGCCCACCTTACACCTACGTCAGAAGAAAGGTACAATTAATATAATTGTAAAAGGACTATATTATAATAACTGATGTGTAAAATATTAGATAAATTCTGTTGAGATTTGATACTGATATTCAAAATGGGATCCAAATTTGAAAGTACAAAATATAGAAGCTGAAAAAAATACTCAAAAAAGGTGCACTTGATGGATGCAGCACTGTACTCCAGTTAATAGTAACTTTGTATAAATTTGCCATGTAGTATGCTTTAATGTTCAATTAAGTTGATAGTTTAGATGTGGTTATAGTCACATATGCAAGCATACCAATACCTACAAAACAGGTTTAAGAAGATTTTGGTACATATTTATACCATCGTATTTAATGAGTACCGTACCTGCATTCTCCTGGCTTTCGGCAGTAGCCTCGCTCCTTATGACAGCTCTCAGCACAGATAGCTTTAGGGGAAAAAATAATATTATTGAATTTAGGACTGATTGAATTACAGTAAATATTACTTGTGCACTATTTTGATTTATGTGGATATTTTAAATTAATTAAAACAAAATTATAAAAAATACAAAATTGACAAGATGAGGAACGTGATAAGGGCTCATAGGTAAGTTGCAATCAGGGTGTCAGTCTCATAACAGAAACAACAGTCCACAAAACCTTCAGAAATAACCTTTCACTTACAATCGCTATTCATATCTTCTGATCCTTCTGCACAAGCCCCCTACAGGTCAATTACAAACATTGTGTGTTTGTTAATAGTACTGAAACTGAACACTAGGAAGAAGTGATCGTGGCCAATTTTAAAATAAATTCTAGACTGCTTAGAACAACAGTAGGATTGTAACACTGTGATACGTACGGGTCTGACAAAGCATCCCTGAGTATCCTTCACGGCAGCGACATTCCAGAGGCTTTGTACAATATCCATGTTGACATCCTGGTAGCACTTGACAGTCGGTACATGTTTCTCCAGCCCAGCCTAGACGACACCTGAAAACAAGTCAACAGTTGAGGAAACTTATTCCTGTAATGAAATGCACCTTTATATAATTCAAGCAATTGGTCTAGAACATTTGAGTACTGTAAATGGAAATTATAAAAGTTGAAATCTTGCACCAGTGAGAATGAACGAACTATTTTAGGTTAATGTTTTATCACTTGCTAAAGTCACATTTGATATGACTTAAGTATGTGAATACCTATTGTAAGTCAATAAACTTTGTATTTAGAAGTAATAATTGCAGAAATGATTTTTCAAAGGTGTCTAGATTTTAATTAATCAGACTTTAAAGTAGTCTTTGATTTGTACTTTTATTACCTGCATTCTCCTGGCCACTCACAATAACCTCTTGTAGGATGGCAGTCCGATTTGCAGATGGCTGAAATGTAGAAAACAAGTGATTTGTAATGTTATTCATATTTTATAAACCATATTCTTTGAAGTATGTGATATTTTTATGAAAAAATTTGTAACAGCTAAGTGATACAAAGATAAAAAATGCATCTTCATAACCTATTTATTTAAGACCCATTTTATTATTTTCCCATCTGTAATAATGTCTTCTAAGCAAACTTAATAAATATACATTATAAAATGATATTCTGCACATGTTTAGTTTATTTATTCTTCTGTAAATGAACAAAGGCCAAATTCAAGTACTATATAATGAGGCCATGAATCCACTCTAGTGAATTACAGAAATATGGCAGTCATATCTTGGCAGAAATAAGTACGGAATAAACTTGCTTTAAAGTAAGATTTACCAAGGAAACAGGAACAGTGATTTTACAGTGGGGATGATATCCTTGTTTACAACAAAATATTTAATAAAATATATGCCTGCGATGCAAGTACCTCGCAGGCCACGAGTTATTATAGGTTATCACATGTGAATTGCTATATCAGTGCGTTTCATCATACTTATAACACAAATGCAGATCTTGATCTCAAAAACAAAATCTGATATTATATAATCTGTTGTTCATTGAACTATTGTTAGGAATAACATAGAAATATATATAAATAAGCGTCCCGCGCGGTCTGAGGCATCGTGCTTCGGACCGAAGATACGGAATGCGCGGTGGTTCGAGTCTCGGGGAAGAAGAAATTTCTCATGAGATTTTCAACCGGTGTATGGGACCGGTGTCAACCCAGCATCGTGAGGAAACTGGGGAGCTACAATGAGTAGCGTAATCCGGTCAGGAAAGCTAGCAATGGCTGGGGTTTCGTCGTGCTGACCACACGTCACCCTATATCTGGTTGGATGATCGTTCACCTCTGCTTCAGCGTGTGAACCTGAGGCCAGCAGTCAAGCTAGTCGGCTTTGGTTCTCAGAGGGCTGTTACGCCACGGATTTAATTTAATATATAATATTTATTCTAAAGATCTTTAAAGTATGTCGTTGTGGTGATACATACCATCTCTACAGAACAAACCATCCCAACCTTTATGGCAGTTACATTCAAAGCTTGTATTGCAGTAGCCATGATGGCAGCCTGGCAGTGAGATGCATTTGTTACAGAGCTCGCCGTAGAATCCTATTGACAAGCAAAGTAAACAGTGCTGCTAAAAAGGTTCTTGAAGAACTCACTAAAAACTTTAGCATGAATACCTTAATTATGTATAATAAAGGAAACATTTAAAATTATTCATAATGATACCAAGGGCTCAACACAAATTTCTTCCGTCATTTTACCCAGCTGCATTTTTGAGGTTAGGACTTATTATAAGTTTCCCACATGATACATAAACTAGACTACACTGTATTACATCAGGACTTGCTTTGAAGTTCTCGTCTATGTTTTGCATAGCATTCCGTCATTCCCGCCTTTTTAAATAGAAGTTGAAATAAATAATTTCTTGCTATGAATAATAAAAGCCGATATAAAAATAATTACTGTAACTCAGCTATTTTAGGATTAATCTTCATCAATACCTAATTTTAATAGTAAGCACTTGGGGATGTTTGAATATCTGATAGTTGCTTATCTGGTCAAGAAATGTGGAAACTGAAGATATGACAGTGTCCATAAAACCCTTCGGCTAGAATTTATCCTGAGCCAGATTAATTCCGTTCCATTTCCTACTGAACATGTGTCAGTGTCCCAAGTGATTTGTTCCCTTCATGTTTCACAACTAAAATTTTGCACGCATTTTCTTTCATTACATACTGTTGTGAACACACATATGACTCGAATAGTTTAAATGGGAAAGCGAGTTGGAATATGAAGCCACAACAATGCGTTCAACAAATGTAAAAAAGTAAATATTTATAAACAACGCACCAAGTTTACAGAGACACTCGCCCGGCCTCTTGCAGTAGCCTTGCAGGGGGTCGCAACCTTTTCTGCAAATAGGAACATCGCACACATCTCCTGTCCACCCCCGCAGACATTTTACTTCGCCGTTGTCGGTGCATACGTAATGACTGTGCTCGTTCTGACTTGCAGGTACCTCGCATGCCTGGAACAACGGAAACCCGTTTCACAAACAGTACCAGAAGCTTCGAGCGATAAAGCATACTCTCCGTCCTCATATTGTTGTTGTAACTGTAACGGATAACTGTCTGTCTCTTTCGAAAAATACTTCGTGTGCTGACATACGTGACGCGGAAGTATTTCAGAAAGAAAACTTCGTATAATTAAAGGCAAAGGACAGATTGATGGTGCTAATAGGCAAATATTTATAACTCCTACTTGCGAACCCGCCTAAAAACAATAATCCATAGAACCTAATTCTGGAAGACAACGAGGTAATTCGATTCGGATTATATTTAACGTAAATAGCACGGTTTCCGACCTGGAAAGATCGATTTACAGGACAGTCGATGTAAAATCATTCCACCATAAGAAACCAAACAGACTACATATCGCAATGAAACAAGCATTCGAGTTATTCATAGAAGTCGAATCGTACGTTATTTAACGAAGCTATATCAATCGCAAAAGCGTCGAATACCACGAGATGATCATGAACTTTAAAGGATTGTGGAGTAAAGTGTCGTAGCCTGTTTACAGACCATGGAAACCATCAGCAAGGACACTTAGTGCACTTGTAGAGTTGAGACAAGGTAGCTGAGGAAAACAAGCTAGACGCGGAGCCAAGTTACTCAGGGCCATTTAACGAAGTACTAGAAATCCTCTAAATAACGCACCAAACGTAATGGTAACAGAACCAAAATTTCAACACCCTTAATACCAAAGCCCATCACTGGACACGATTCTGTGCCATTTCCATCGACCTCTCACATTACGAACCTCATCCCTAACATCAATCTTAATTTTTATCATTCAATCTCTTCTTCAGTTTTTCATTAGACTGAAAAAGGAAAGCTATCCCGCTACGCGCCACGTAGGCGCTCAGGGGAAGACAATGTATAACTACTACTCATTCTCAACCTCGGCACTAGATGGGGTGAGTGGTCAGCGTCACGCCCCGGCCGCAGGGAAAGGACCCCTGGAACCCACTGGACAAGAGGCTGAGTTCCATTAGACTTCCCCACCAAAACTGGTAAGTTCATTCTTTGTTGTCTCCATCTTGGCCACATATCCAACCCATAAAATTATAAATGAGACTACAGAAGAGGATCCTTAAATACCAAAGAAAAGAGGGACTTACCTGTTTCTTCCACTTCGGGACATACCTAGCAGGTACTAC